AGGACTCGGAGCCGTGTACCATAGTGGGTGGAGTCATCTCCATCCTCCTCTGTAGTTGCGGAGCGGCAGGAGGCGGGAACATTTAGGCCGCAGTCACAATTTCCATGAGGAATGATGCATTCTGGGATCGCATACACAATGGCGGGTGACCAATGACTGCCTCGTATACAAATGAGGGGCCCCTAACCCTCTTCATGGGGCCCCTAACCCTCTGAGGGACAGTAAACTGGCCCTTTGTTCAGAATGTTTGAGGAGCCCGGGGTAGTCACTGAGGGTTCGGTGGAAGAGTCTTCCTCGGGGGCCCAGCACCATGAAAGGGTTCCCCATGGGGGCCCGGAGCTCAGAGGGGCCGCAGAGGTGAGTTGTGACAACTGTCATGTGACCAATCCTCGCCCCACCCCCGACCTGACACAGGACATCCCCGGGAATACACTCTATTGCCAGAGGTATAGGCCCCTCCCCCTCCCGGTGTTCCTCCAATCCCCTCCATCGGTGAGAGAACGGGTCGCTCTCAGGAGCTCGGTGACTACAAGCGCGGTGCCGTGATAGGTTGTCACCTGCGCAATAAGTCCGTCAGTGACATTTCCCGGCTACTAAATATTCCGCCGCGGTCGCCTGTTACCGGGAACACCAGCAACTCAGCCAGGAAGTGGTCGGCCGCGTCACATGACAGGGCGGGGTCAGCGCATGCTGAAGCGCACAGTGCGCAGAAGTCGCCGACTGTCTGCAGAGCCAATAGCTACAGACCTCCAAACTCCATGCGGCCGTCAGATTGGCGCAACAACAGTGCGCAGAGAGCGTCATGGAATGGGGGCGGAGCAGCTGCATCCAAGCCGCACATCACCGAGTGCAATGCAAAGCGCGGGATGCCGCGGTGTAACGCACGCCGCCACTGGACTCTAGAGAAGAGGAGGCGTGGTCTCTGGAGGGACCAATCACGCTTCTCTGTCTGGCGATGGGCGTGTCTGGGTTTGGCCTGACTGCATTGTGCCAAGTGTAAAGTTGGGGGAGGGGGTGCATTTTGGGGGGTTGGGCTCCGCCCCTTAGTTCCAGGGAAGGGAACTCTTAAGGCCTCAGCACACCAAGACATTTTGGACAATTTCATGCTCCCAACTTTGTGGGAGGAGTTTGGGGACGGCCCCTCCCTGTTCCACCATGACTGCGCACCAGTGCACAAAGCAAGGTCCATAAAGACACGGATGGGGGAGGGGGTGGAGGAGCGTGACTGGCCGCACAGAGTCCTGACCTCAACCCCATAGAACACCTTTGGGATGAATTAGAGGTGGAGACTGCGAGCCCCTCCCCCAACATCAGCACCTGACCTCACAAATGGTCCAACATTCCCATAGACACGCCCCTAAACCTTGTGGACGCCTTCCCAGAAGAGGCGGAGCTGTCATAGCGGCAAAGGGCGGAGCCAACCCAATACTGAGCCCTACTGACTAAGACTGGGGGGCCATTAGAGGGCGGAGCCAACCCATTAATGAACCCTACGGACTAAGACTGGGGGGCCATTAGAGGGCGGAGCCAACCCAATACTGAACCCTACGGACTAAGACTGGGGGGCCATTAGAGGGCGGAGCCAACCCAATACTGAACCCTA